GTGCTGGTCCCCGGGGCCGGCTGTGTCTCTGGAGCAGGGTGGCAGAGGTGCATGCCGCACACAGGGACAGGCTCCTGCCTTCATTAGCTATAAACTTGGGAACAGACAGGGTGCCGGTACCAACAGCGCCTGGGTTTGTTCCCTGCAGGGCTTACACCTACGCGGGCCTGGCGTACGGAGCAGAGTGCTACTGCGGGAACAAGCTCCCAGCGACCGCCTCGAAGCCCGAGGAGTGCAACAGCGAGTGCAAGGGGGAAAAGGGCTCCATCTGCGGAGGGGTGAACCGGCTCTCTGTCTACAGGGTGGAGGAGCTGCGGGCAGGAGCGAGACGATGTAAGTGGGTGTGCGACCAGAGAGAGGAGGCCGCTTTCCCCAGGAGCCATGCTCGCCCCACGGGGGGAGATGCCATGGCCAGGCTGAGCGCGTGGGCTGCCCCCACTGCTCCTCTCGCTCCATTTGTCACCAGAGTTTGAAACAGCAAAGGCCAAAGATGCCCACGGGGCACGGTGTCCATTTGCTGCTGGTCTGGTCCCTGGCTCCCTCCCCGAAATAGCAAGCGCTGCTTGCCGCCTGGGAGCGGCGAGACTCCCCTGGCACGGCTGCCTCTGGGCGCCACATAGGAAGTTAGTGTCACTGGGGAAGAAACAAAGTACAGTGCAGAGCGACTGCAACAGCAGCACAATTTCAGCTGAAAATTTTCAGCGTAGCTGAAAAACTACGCCCTTTCGCATCCATTGCAGAGGGACAAATCCAGGTGTGTTTAAGAAACAGCCCTGGAAGTGGATGCCTTGCAATGGAAGGGCAGAAAAGCACTCGTATCAATGCCACCCTAAGCTCAGAAATGATCCTAAATAAGTACTACGTGACTGCAGCAGGAGAATAAGCAGAAGCCAGAGAGAGGGGCACACCAATCTCTTTCCTAAGTGAGAGAAATGAGACCGCAGAGTTTTGCTCTTCCAAGGACTTCTGTTCTAGGAGCAGCTGAGATTTTTGTTTCATTTTTAGATGACAACACTTACTCTGCTCGTCATTCAGTTAGCTACCATGGGAGATACAATAAACCTTTGGGCCAACACAAAGCACATAAAATACCTAAACAGCTGAGCAGTCTTTACTTTTGGCAAGCTCACAAGACCTTACGGATGTTATTTACCGAGAAGCAGCACCAAGACCTTAGTTTGTGCCAGTATTGATGGTACTTCATTTCTTCTTAAAGACAAGTCAAGGTTTGTACAATAATCCACCCAGCTACATATAAATTATATATCAAAGGTACATAGACCTAAATTGCTAATGTCAGGCTGACAGGCACATTGGCAGCTTTCCCAGGACATGCATCACTGTTTAAATCTTCAGCATAAAATATATATACATATTTCACAGGAAAGGGCGGCATTTATTTTTTTCTTAAGTATTAATGAATTAGTCATCAAATTAGTCTAGCCTGGAGCTAGATTTGTATTTTGTTTGCCCTTAGTAATACCTGATATTTGACTGTTTGAAGAATCCCACTGACACAAGCTAGCCGAGGGGCCAACAGAAGCATTAATCACGATGAACAAGTATATTGGAAAGTAACTCTGAAACTGTAACGGCATCCGTGATTTACGTTATGCAATACAAAGAACAGATCTTGTGTGAGGCTTCTCCTTATGCAGAGCAGATCCAGTGGCATCTTGTTTAAAGCTTCCCAGGTTTGCTGGCTCCCCTCTCCATCCCTCACCTCCCCCTTCCCACCCTGGCTCCCTGGGCACCACGACCTGCGCAGCTCCTGCACCGCAGGACTCGTGCCCCCACTTCAGGTTAAATGCAATGAAGCTGAAAGTCTGCAGCTATTGCAGCCCAGGGATTGCTGCGGCACAGAGTGCCCTTCTCCCTGGGGCAGGATTCAGCCATCCTTCCCCAGAAAGCAGGCAGACGATGTAAATACAGCACATTTCCAGTGTGATCTGTGGGCTCTCTGCAAACCCTGCTCCCCACCAAGCCCCGGTGTGGGCAGTTCAAGCTTTCTTCCTGACGCTCTGAGACAACTCTAAACGTGTTCATAAACATTTTGTTTCAGAATTTAAATATTGGTGTGAGATCTAGAAGGAAACCTTTCAAAAGCATCCTGAGAAGCCAAAATACTTTGGTTCCTTTATTCTTTGGTGCCGTGCTTGCAGTGATCTGGTCCCAGGGAGACTCCTGTTTCCCTCCAACTTGCATTGAGTTCTTTTATTTGCACATCTCCTGAGTGATCCTGAAGATAGAGCGCTGTTTCTAGTGATTGGCTTGAACAGTTATTAGAACAATATTTAAGCAGCTTCTCCTCAGACTGCTCTTGGCTCATGCTGGAGAATCTGGACCCTTCTGCCACGAAATTCACGTAGAACTAAGTTTTTCCTTCAAAACTGCCCTGCATCTCTCCTGTCATCCAACACATTTCCCACCTCAGTTCTGGTGAGCACTGTTTAAGGTAGCCAGCAGGTGCAGACCAGGACTCAGAAGACCCAAATTCATTCCCAAATCCACCTTTCCCCCTACTGAGTCATGCTAGGCAAATTCTGTCAATAGTTAGTACAGAGCGATGAAGTAAAGGCATTTTCCACCTTTGTAAAGCCCACAAAATCCTAAGAATTACAGAAGTGCCACACAACACGCAGACTTTTTTCTTTTCTAACCTGCCACACAATGTTATTTTCTTCATTACCATTAGTTCATCTGTGCAAATGCACGGCCTCACCTGGGGTAGTGAGTTCCCACGATAGCTTTGGGCTTTCCTTTGGTTCTGTCAGAGGATGTGTCTCTCTCATGCAGGAGGGAAAACTGTATTGCTGCTTCTAACAAGCATTTGGGCCAAATCCTGACTTCAGTCGCAATGATGCAAAAAACAGAGCAATTCTGCCAAGCTCTGTGGCATTTATACAGGAGCAGGTGAGATCAGAGGCTGATGCCAACGACTTGAAGAAAGCCGCTTCCCTAACAGCTCACAAAAGCCTAGTTTAGATTTCGAAGGCTGCAGCAAACTTCCTTGGCCTGAAAAGAAAGCGAGTGGGAAGAGGAGAGGGATAGCTCAGCAACCGAGCAGATGTGCGGGAAGGTGGGTCCCTGCGGGGGCTTTCAGGATCCGTTTAAATTCCGTTCCTTCTCTGGTGCAGATCCTGGGAAGCTTTGTAGATTTTTATTGGGGCTTTTAAGTCTTTCATGGGAAAGCACGTCTTCAAAAGAAAACTGGGACTTGCAAACAATAGCAATGCCCTCCACTGGTGGAATTTAATTTAAACCCTTTGCTGCAGCCCTACTTTCAGTGGTTAGTACAAAGCTAAAGGCGTGTGCTCCTTTCAATACCAAAGGATTTGCAACACATTTTTCTAGTGTATGTCATGGTTTCTCTTATTTCTACAGCATTTGGAATATAAAATTTATTTTATTATTTTTAGCGTCTGAACCTAATATTGTTCTTTGTGAAAAAGGCAGGATACTACGGACATTGTTTTCTCAAGAGAAACCTATTTCATATCCCTGCAGGGAGGAATGTTATCTATCGAGGATGTTTTAGAGCTCCAGAAAATTTAACAGACACCTTTCCAGCCTCTTTGATACAGCCCAATTTGACGGTGGAGATGTGCTCTGAATTTTGCTCCAAGAAAGTAAGAACAGTTCTCATTTCACATCCTTTCTTCTTTTTTGTTATTTTAAATTTTAATCTACTAAGGGACTAGCAGAGATTAGTGCCTTAGAACTCTGAATTTGTACATGAGTTTCTAAAGGACAAAACTCAGAGTAAATACGCAGTGATGCATCTGGTCCAACCGCTCTCTCGAGCGGGGAAGGCGGGAGGGAAAGCCATCAGTGATACCACTAAATATGATGCACAGAAAAGCTGTTCTAAGTGACAAGTATTGACCGTGAGGAAATCGATACCATTTCCTGTCACATTCAAACCAAGCCCAGAACCAGCTCTGACCCCGGGGGAGGTCCCGGTAGCGGCGGCTCTGGGGGAAGATACGCCACCAGTGGGTGGATGGGGGCTGGCAGCACCCAAAACGTGGCTCCAGTGCCCTCCTGGGAGCTGGTCCTCGCTCAGCTTGGGGGAGCTGTGCGTGGGCAGGGCAGGCAGAAGCAATTCCCAGTGCCCTCCGCTTTGCGCAGCCCTGTCTGCTCCCCTCCAAGGTGGTCCTTTGGGTCTCGGGCTCCTCCACAGTGCAGCAGCAGGCATTGCCACAGCAAATGAGGATCAATGCTGAGGTATCTACACACTATTTTTACACCAGTGTGTAACTTTGTTGGCTAGGAACGTGATACAATCTTAAATATTAAAAAAAAAAAAAAGAATCTGCCAGAGAAAAGATTTAGCAGATAAGCACACTGATAGCAGGTGGACTTTCCTAGACTTTCACACAAATGTGTCTCCACACCAGAAGAATTTATACCACTTTCACAATAACCTACATAACTCTAATTTATTTTAATTTAAAGTGGAATCATTGTAGAACTTCACGCTGATATGCAAGACAAGAAAGCAATGAATAAGATCAGTTGTGCGCTTACTGGCTTTTGGACAGAAAGTGGGAAGGAAGGGACATGCTAACATCTGCTGTCCTTGTGCACTCTCTCGGCCTGAAGCCTCATCTTTGCTCGTCCCCCACACTGATCACAGATTAAGACCATGGATTTAAGAACTGAAAGAGTTTGACTTTGATGGACTAGGGTATCCTCACAGGAGGGAACATCCGGCTCAGGGCAGCCTCTGCTTTAGTGGCTGTTGCTGCTGCTGGTTCCCTTCCCTTCCTCCCCACTCCAATGGGGCTTATTTTTTTGTATAGAGGAGGGTTCACTGTGTGGTCAGATTTAGCCTGTAGCCATGTTCAGCCTCATGCACTAAACTGAATGTTCAATTACTTTGTCTTCTAGCATCACAAAATTGATTAAAACTATTAAGGCACGAACAACAAATCTTAATTACTAGGTAGAGTGGGAAAGCTTTTCCCAGTCAACGTATATTCTATACCAGCTCATCAGTGTTTTAAAAATGCACCATGGAATTAGCTCCGTGCAGCAAATTGCAGTGAATCACCCATATACCCTGCATATAGTAATATCCTGTATATAGTACCTTACAAACACACATACAAACCCACCCTCACATCCTCGATCCATATAAATGTTCAGTAAAGCAGGACTTCATGAGCAATTCTTTCCAAGCTCTGCCATTAATCTACTGTTTAATGGTGAGAAAAAAAAATCTTGATCTTTCTGTGTCAATTTACCCGCATGTAACATTATTTTATTAATATTTACTGATGAAGTGCAATTAATTATTGCTCCTCTGTCTGGGAGAATGGTATGAAATATCTGGAGAAGTTGTTTTCAGATGTGCTCAAACACGAGGTCAATGTTTTTAAGCCCAGTCATGTGAATCTGGTTTTGGAAGATTACTTTTCTAAATAAGTGGGTTTTCAGAAGTGTACTTCCTTCAAGGTTTTTCTAGCCATGCAGCCAAAAAGTAGAAGCATCTGAAATTAGTGGTGACTGAGAAGGATAGGAGAAAGACCAGAACCAAGACGCACTGCATTAGCACGACATTCAAACAGGACTAGGATAGAGGAGAACAGCAGGATGGAGGAAACTGTCCCACCTCTGCAGAACACCTAGTGCCTTTCCAGAGTTCACGTCAATGCGTATTTGCTTGATGAAGCTTGTGTGAGAAACCCATCAGCAAACCAGATATTCTGAAGGATTAGCTAAGCAGACTCCTTCTGCACAGAGAGCACGGAGGGGGCTGCAGAAATGATAACATTAAGAGAAAAAGGTACTGAAGGAAGGTAAGAAAAGGCTTGGTACCTCTCTCATGTACTCCTTCCCTAAAATGACGCAGGTAAAAACCTCCTTATCCTCGCCCCTTCCCTGTCTTTAGTTCTGCCAGCACCATGCTACCTGTTGGAAAGCGATTATTAGAGAACCTTTGCCTACAAAAAGACTGGCAAGGTCTCCCTCCACTTAACAAGCAGCAATTGCATATCCACAAGTCCAGTTGTTACACACCAATTTGCGCTTTAGACAGTAAAACAAGTGCTATTACGACACTACAAATATTTGTCCCAACTTTGGTTCCTTTCCTTTCAAAATAACATGGACAACTTCCTAGCCGATAGCAACATACTTGGCTCTCCTGAAATCAGGAAGGTGCTGTCATTTTAGTCCAGCCTGTTACACTGAAAGTAATTATCCCACCAATTTCTATGTATCCTGAACAAGCTAGAGGGCTTTTAAAAGGAACTAGTTGGATGCTTAAACACATGAATAAGTCTTTTGCTCTTTGGGACTTAGAAGAAGGGCAAATTGAGACATACCATATTTATTTGTTAGCCTTGCAAATTGCTCTCTGCAGCTGAAATGGTAGTTCCAGCCCTTGGAAGCATTTGAGATAAGAATTTGAGGTGGTATCTTCAGATGAAACCTGCTAAATACTCTTAATTACCAATTTCTTTCTTAATTAACAGAGTGATGACATGGCTTAATAGCAACCCATTACTACCCCATAACACAGACCCATGACCCATGTGTTTCTGTGCTAGGTACCTTGGCCAGAAGCCATAATTTTCATATATGCTCTTTTATAAGCCAACCTGCATACTAAATGAACCATCTCCAGTTGAATTTATGTTTTTAAATATAAAGTCCTTTTACCACTCAACTGCTGTATGCAGTTATGCATGATGATATGAGTAAAATCTGGGAGATTTTACACTAAGCCTTGAGGAGAGCACCTCAGTAACCTAATGCATCCAAAAGCCATGCCAGCAAGTTTGCACACTTGAACATTACCAACTCTGAAGTGCTTTTTCTTTTCCTTATGCTGCAACATACAGAATACAGCAAACTCCTAATTTCAAAACCAGACCTGCTGTTTTGGATTCCAGATGTAGCTACATGCCATTATTTACCCATAAACAAAGGACTTCTGGGATTTTGATCTAATTCATACAGAGTGTTTCCATAGCTTCATTTAGATATTTTTTTAAACACAAACCAAAGATAAGTAGGCCAGAACCTCAACTGGCACAGATAACCACAGCCTCGCTGACTTTATTGCGGCAATGAGAGAGGAGTATTTCAAATCAGGGTCATGTTGGGTATAACAGTGCACGGAGGAATTGTCCCCCGGCCTCACCAGATCGTAGCGTCAAACAAGCCAGAATTTTTATGCAAGGGCATGATTTGCTTGAGGGTATTTATTCTTTGCTCTTAGCATATCCAGTTCAAAGAAAACTTGAAGAAGTACTTTTAGGTTTGTTGCAAAATGAACATGCCCATTTTTAAATAAACCAAACGCATCATTTTTTCTTGGGAAAGAAATTTCCTTCCATGTTTAGCCCTCCATCTCTTCTTTTTGGTAGACTGAGGAAAAAAAACCAAACAAAACTTTTAACTGCATCAGATAGGAAGATTAGTATAGGAAGTTGGAAAAGAAAGGAATTTAGCAGAGTAATCAGAGTAGAACCAGATAAGTGTATTTTTAATGTGTTCATAATTCTTAATTTGGATGCAATCTAATAAAAAACAATCAGTGATTGAATCATCACATCGTCTGCATTGCTATTGGAGAATGACTGCTTTCCTTACAGCCCTTAAAATACCTGTTGAGTCTTCATCTAAAATTCTTACGTAAATAGTTCCATTGACATCAACTCTCGCTGAGTTACAGCTTGTAGAATGGACACCTGAGCCTGTCCAGGCACGCTCTGAAGCTCAATCCAGAAAAATGCTTATTCACAGACCCACAGGTTTCTCTGGCAATACACTTGTGTTTAACTGAAGAGAAGCATCGCAGATGCTTCAGGACTAGTCCTGCACTTAAAAGTTACATGGCTGCTTAAAGCCATAACCACAGCCTGGGGCTCATGTAAATATGCAGGTGAGCAGAGTGGATGGCCTGTAGTTTTGATTAAATACTGATGGGAAGTCAAGATTGAATAAGTTATTTCGCAATCACTTTGTGCGCTGCATCAGGCAGACAGTCTGAATAAGCAGCCGGTTGATTACAGCGCTTTGCACCAATGCTGCGGATCCCGCTGCAATTCCCAGAATTACTGTCGTGCTGCTTCCAATACGTGTGCTGCCACCACAGAAACTTTGAAGCTTTCACTTGCGAAGCCCGCTCCATTCTCTGCCCTTCCTCCATGCATTCGCTGCCCGAGCAGCAGGAAGGCTGCGCAGGCGAGGGGCAGCCCGATCCCCCGGACCGCCGTTGCCCCAAACCGCAGAGCAGCTGCGGAACAGCGCTGCATCGACCAGTGCTGCTGCAGACACAGAAATACGGAGAAGTGTTTGCTTAGGTCCCTTCACAAAAATCTCCAGCCTTCCAGAGAAGTCAATTGCTTGCAAGTGCCACTTGGCATGAGGTACAACGTACATTTTTATTCTAGGCTGTGTTAGAGGGCCGGGCACTTACTAATTTCTCAAACTGAGAAACACTGCTTCACCATAAAGGGAAAATTTCTGTTTGCAGGCAGAAACAGAACTGTCTTGCCCTTGGATCAAATCTGTAAATAGTTTTTGACAATGTCATATCTCATTCGCTAAGCAAACGTTGGCTGTTTGGGCACAGATGGCACATGTGTTGTATTTGACTCCTTATCAGAGGATGAACATGTGGGGAAGAGCGAGAGATAAGCTGCTCAGCAGTCCTGTCACGCACTCCCAGACTCCAGAAGACTTTTAAAAGGCAAAAAACTGTTGATACGGAATAGGTAAACTTGAAGACTCTGCACCCAAATAACCCCCAAGCTTCCTTCAGCCGTTCCGTGGCTGTGCCGAGCCTGTCCCTGCACACCAGCGCACCGCTGGGCGGCCGAGCAAGCCGGCGCGGGACTTTGGAAGCCCATGGAAAAGCAACCCTAGTCCTCCTGGTAAACAGGAGAAAAAACTGAATTTTAGGGCCAGTTTCAGCAAAGTAGTAAGTGTGCTTTCCCTATTGAGCACCTAAGCAACTGGTAATTTCTTCAGCAAATAATTAGCACACATTTCCCTCAAACTGCTCTTAGTTCTCATCAATATTAGCACAGCAGCCCAGCCTCACTGCTCTGCCACCACACAGCAACACTGCTTTGCAGCCTGTGACCTGTTTTGGGTAAGACTGCTGCACCAAAACCTGAATTACTTTTCATCAAATCCATTGAAAAGAAATTTCTTACAGCCAGAAATTTTCCTTGGGAATTATTTGCTTGCAACAAACACTACCTATACCTTTCTTGTAGTCGCACGTTCGCAGCAGTCAGTCTGGCTTTCACACGAGGTTTCCCTACCCAGAAGCAAGGTAGCATAAAGCAAGAAGTGTCTGTGCCTGGAGACGTATCCCAGGCGCCAGCGGAGCCGGGGCTCGTGCCCCGGCAGGCAGAGCCGTGCGTGCCCTAGGCTCACCCCAGCACCAGGCAGGGCCAAGGCTGCGCTCAGCGCCGCAGGTCCCCCTCTGCCTCCGCGGCCCCACGTTCGCCGTCAGTGCAGTCCCTCTGGATAGAGGTGCCAAAAATTACTTGGTATCATATTTCTAAATAGTTTTTCCAAAACTGTACCAAATAGCTCTCAAACCCTGCATCAGCCCCCAATGCACATTCATTTTTTACAAACTGTGAAGAAGTCATACTAAGATGTGGACTTTTTTTTTTTTTTTTTTTTTAAGG